ACACAATGAAATCATTAATTAGTGAATCTATGGCCTACAGGAGCTGTAAAAGGGTAGTTTATAGAAGAGGCACTAATTTATTCACTGTAATACTGATTAAAATTTATAGCTAACTCACCATAAGGGGAAAGTAACCTGTCATATATTTAGTGACTGGATAGCTAAGCTGAAGCCACAGCTCCATGAAGTTAAACACTGTTCAGCCAGTGGTTTCAGTGGAGCCAGAGTATTGCTTCTGGGATCTCTTTGGCCTAAGAGTAACTTCCAAACATTTTTATTTAATAGTACACTTGTCAGTGCTGCCCAAAGTAATTCTTATTTCTACTAGAAGAAAATTATCCTGAAGCTATTTCCTTAATTTGTGTGTAATGTTTTGATGGTCTTTTCTCTGACTTCAGACTTACCTGGAGTAAATGTTTATATTTCTACTTCAAGAGAAGAATTTTCAATTTAACTTGCAGCACAGTTTTGATTTTGACATATAGACTTGGTGTCTAAATACCATGGTGTCTAAACCCATGAGGGTTTATCTACAATTTTGTACAAGCTAACACATGCATCAAATTTAAATTGTTATTAATTCATTTTTCAAATGTCTAATAAAAATGAAACAACTTTTCCTTCTGTCCCTCTTCCTGATCTGAGATCCCCCTGGTGCCCCACATATGTTCCACAGCATGCTTCCCTTGGTGCCAGCTGGAACCTGTCAGGGCATGGACACTTCAAGTTAGTGCTCCCATGACTGATACCATTATCCACTTAAGGCTTTCTTCTTTAAAATGTTTCTGTAGAGAAAGATCCAGCAAGAGAGTGTGTATTACAGACATCTTAATAGACTGCCTTAGCTAAAGGTGCTAGGCTGAAAATCAGACTTGACAAACAGCAAAACCCTCAATGCAGTGAAACCTGTCTAAGGCTCCACCAGGGGAGGAACCACAGCATGGTGCATCGTGCTAACAAACAGGAGCTGAGATGCACATCTATGAGGAAGACCAGCACGGAGCAAGGGAGCACGTCTGACTCTGTCCTGCCTGTTCTGGGGATCAGCAACACCGCAGGGAGCTGGGGTTTGGCAGTCTCTGCAGATGGTGTGGAGAC